GTCTTAGATGATCCTGGAAATTAAGTCTTTGAACAGTGAGCTCACTCAAAGCAGTTCCCTTTTTTTGCAGAGTCCAGTGGTGCTTCCAGGATAGATGTAGCTCCTGCAGTGCCATCAGACAGTTGGGGCAGTGTTTATTCACCTGTCTTTCTCTTTCTCCCAAGACCAAATATTTGCTGAATTGGCTTAAACATTGCTAAGGGTAAATACAGACAAAAGGTTCTTTTCGGAGTGGTTGAAAATAACATAACCAGCACTTTTATTGTGATTTCACCCTGGTGAATCTTGCAAGATTTCTGGGCTGTGGTTTATTTGGCCACGGTATGCTGGTCGTGGAACTACAAAAAGTGGCTGTCCCACTTCTTCAAGAATGGTTTCTCCTTGCCATGCATAAGCAACATGCATTTACCCTTCCATTCTCACACTCTTCCAAAATCATTTGTATGTCACTAATTTTGTTGACTTTAATCCAACAAGTATTTCTTAATATTTCAAGTGCCTCAGAGCCCTTTTAGAAGAATCACAGGAACAAGTATGATGGAACCCGGTCCGGCCACTTCTGTGTTCTCAGTGGCTGCTTGGAGGTAATTTGCTGGTCAAGACAGAATTCCCTGACTTCTATGGAAAATGCATCTTCTCTCCATTTTCTTTAGTGAGGTGTGCCCTGGGTCTGTGTTAGAAGTGGGGTCAGGGCAGGGGGAGGGGAGGGTAGTCACGGTCCCTTCCTCCAACTGTAGAGTTGGGCTGCCTGCCTGAGTTAGGGTCTTGTCTTGAGTTAGGGTCTGATTGCCTTGAGTATGGCCACACCTAAGTTCTGATGTGGAGCCAGTACCATAGTAAATCCAGATCAGACGTGTTTGAGTTCCTGAGACTGTACGGAATTTGAGCTAACTCATTTGACTGAGGACCCAAGTAGACTTCAGGCGAGGTACAGAGATAATGCTGGTGAACCTGAAGAGGATTTGGGGAGGCCAGTATGATACTTACCATTTTCACCCTACACTTGTGCTATATTATTTATCTTAGTCATTACTTTTTAGTCCAAAGTCTTTTGCATACTCTCCATGAATGAAGAAAGTGAACTGTTCCACAAGTGCCTCATGAAAAGTCAAATTAACAGTGGTGTTCATTGATTCACTCATCTATTCATTTATTTAACAAACATTTATTAAACACCTCGTATGTGCCAGGCATTGCACTGTGTGATATTAACATGTTTATTGCAATGTCAAAATAATTTTCTTTTGCGTAAGTCTTGTATTCCATAACTTCTACATGTGACTGCAAATAAACTCTATTTTAGAAAAGAGTAGTTTAACAAGAAGAATGCAGAAGTAAGCCCTATAAATATTTTAAATATGGTGCGAACGTTTCTGACTTTAACCAGAATTTCACAAAGTACCTTTTTCTGAACATCCAAAATTCTTGCACTACCTGTTCAGTCAAGCAAGAATACAGGAAGAACTTGAGTGCATACGAGTAAAACCCTAAAATAAATGTAATAAATTCTCATATTGACTATTCATAACAATATCTTTTAGGGGCAGTAAATTTTTGCACTTAGATAAAAAGAAACGACCTTAAATGTTGGTGTTAGTTTTCTTTTTCTATCAAGGAATTAATAGGGCAATGACCAATAACTTGTGGATTGTTGGGAAATTTATACAATTCCTAATACTTTTTAACTAACAGTCATTCCATAATCATCTGCCCAGTTATACACAGTTAAAAACTTGTATCTGACAAAAGAAATAAGCTCCACCTTTTTTTGCATACGGGTTAGCTTTTCCAGCTGCACCTGCTCACTGGCTGCTCCCCATTTCCCGGTAAGTACGTAATACTGGGAGGAACTTTGCCCTTTTATCTCTTCAAGAAAAAAATTTGAAGTATACTTGGCAGGTCAATGTTCAGTCACAGAAATCTCAACGAAAAACAGCCACCCATTTGAGGGTAGCCTGTTTCTCATGCACCTGCAGCTGACCGAGCTGGGTGCTGGCGGGCAGACTCAAGGCAGTCAGAACATGTTCTGAGGCATCCCTGGAAAACAGCAACTGTCTCTGGAGAGGAGCAGTAGGACAGGCTTAAAATGAGTTCTTTCCCTGGGGAAGAACAAAGCACAAGTTAGATTTTGAGGAACCACAGTTGGCCTGGTTCTTGCCCCCAGAGAATTTGGAACTGAATAGGCCATTCTTGGCCCCATTGTGCGTGGAGCCCTCATCTATCTTGATTAAATGAGCCTTGAATGCTCGCTTTGGCAGCACATATACTAAAATTGGAACGATACAGAGAAGATTAGCATGGCCCCTGAACAAGGATGACATGCAAATTCGTGAAGTGTTCCGTATTTTTAAAAAAGAAATAAAAAAAAGAAAAGAAAAATGAGCCTTGAATTTTGGAGCTCCCCTCTACACACCTTTAGCAAATTCAGGGGCCAAAAGTCCTTCTTGATACCTGACCTTGTCATCATGCTTGCGACGAAATCCAGTTCTCCCTGTGTAATATTTTGCGGAAACTGGGAGGCCTTTAAATACACAAAAGAAACATTTGTTTATTATTACCAAATTAAAAAGAATCATAGAATGTTTAAAGTTCTAAATTGATTTAGAATTCATTTAGAATAATAATAATTCCTTGCACAAGGCTGGTAGACACGTTGTTCTGGCCTCTGTCCACCATCCCTTCCCTCTTCTTCAGGGAACAGCACTGCACTTTTCCCTTGGGCAACTACCTTCACCCCACTATTAGTCCACGAGGTTTATATGGGACTGATTCTAACCCCTAGATCCAGAAGAGGGTGTAAAGAGAGTCCACATCCCCTGACCACAGTGATTGCTTCGAGAATGAGCACCCTGTCCAGGTTGGGCCGATGAGACCCACCCTAATTTTTTTTTTTTTTTTTTTTTTGCGGTACACAGGCCTCTCACCGCTGTGGCCTCTCCCGTTGCGGAGCACAGGCTCCGGACACGCAGGCTCAGCGGCCACGGCTCACGGGCCCAGCCCCTCCGTGGCATGTGGGATCCTCCCGGACTGGGGCACGAACCCGTGTCCCCTGCATCGGCATGCGGACTCTCAACCACTGCACCACCAGGGAAGCCCCAAGACCCAGCCTAATTGGATGGAGTTTCCGAAGCTTGTCCTCGGGGTCCTGATTAATACATGTGTAGCATTTTACACGGAAAGCTTAAGGAGCTTCTTAAGGTCACAGCAAGTCATTCACGTAGTCAGCTTCTCCTGATACTGGCCCACTTTCCAGTTGGGGAACAGTGATACCAAAAGATCATTTCAATAATACATTAAGAGCATTCATTCATTCATTCAAGTATTCATTGAGATGATGAATACTACTAGATGCCTGGTTCTGTGCAAGAGATGGAATTTGACTGAAACAGCCATGATTGCTGCCCAATGATGTTCTGAAAGATGTGTATATGGGCACACACAGGAGGGGCATGTAACCTACCCTGGATGTGTTCATATGGGTGTCCAGGAAGGCTTCCTGGAGAAAGAGACTGGCTTCCTAAGTACCTCTGAATCTATTCTCCTTTAATTTTAATTTAATCTCATTCTCACAGCTACTGTCTTAGTTCAGGCTTTTTTGTTTCACATCTGAATTATAGCAAGAGCTTTCTAACTGGACTAGATACTTCTCCTCTTATCCTGGTCCCTAATATCCAACTCATTCTTTAGTGATGACAGAATGATTTGTTTCTTAGCAACATTTTACTGACATATTATATACATACATAAAATTACATATGTAAGCATACAGCTTGATGAATTTCCTCAACCAAGCACACCCATTAACCAGTGCCCACATCAATAAACATGGCCACCACACCAGAAGCCCAGCTCACGTCCTCTTCTGTATACTCACCTCCTCCCACAAATGAGTTTTTAAAAATACTAATCTCAGGGCTTCCCTGGTGGCACAGTGGTTAAGAATCCGCCTGCCAATGCAGGGGACACAGGTTTGAGCCCTGGGCTGGGAAGATCCCACATGCCGCAGAACAATTAAGCCCATGTGCCACAACTACTGAGCCTGTGCTCTAGAAGTAGCGAGCCACAACTACTGAAGCCTGTGCAGCTAGAGCCCGTGCTCCGCAACAAGAGAAGCCACCACAATGAGAAACCCGCGCACCGCAAACGAAGGGTAGCCCCCGCTCACCACACCTAGAGAAAGCCCGCGCACAGCAACAAAGACCCAACGCAGCCAAAAACTAAAATAAATAAATTAAAAAAAGAATACTAATCTCATTATATTGCTCCCTTGCTTTGTTACAGCCTTTCAAGGACTCTCCACAGGTTGCAGGATAAAACCCCATCTCCTTAGCCAACCTAAACTCTTGTAATTCCTAACCTACTATCCTGGTTCTCACTGCCTGGCCTTTGCATATGCTGCTTCTTCTGTTTAGACTAATGTCTCAGCCCTCTTCCTCCCCCATTTTAATCATTCCTAATTATTCTAGGAACCACCTTCTCAAAACCTTCCAAGATCCCTTCCTCTCCATAGATTCTGAAAGGTAGAAACAGTGTTTTTCATCCCAGTTTCCCAGTTGGCTAAATGAATAAAACACCTGGCTTTATTACTTTCCCTTAAAGCCTTTCCTCCTCTTGCCTCCTCCCCTCCATCCCTTTTAAGTAAGAACAAACCATTGCCCGGTGGATAAATGCATATAGTTTGTAGGTAAGTCATGACTGTTTCACTGATCCAGCCACAACCTTCTGCTTGGTATCCCCTCGCATACACCAAGATATGACTGAAGTAGGAACAGTGTTTGGTCCTGCACCCTACCAAGATAAGTGGACACAATGGAAATTGATGTTCATGAGATCTGAGCCATTCTGCCGGTAAAAAGTTGCTTTAATTGGAATATCTGAAGGATCTAAGGGAAAATTGGGAGCGGGGGGAGGATACAAGCAAGTAGGCTAACATTTACCAAATGCCAAACACAATGTTAGGCTCTATCTATGATGTCTTATTTCATTGAAGTGGGGGAGGAATGGGCATAAAGGTATAGATTTTTGAATTGCATAAAAAGAAAAGCCAATATGTCCTTTCTTTCCTTTGGTTGAAAAAAGTTATTCATGCATTTATAGCTTTTTCTTTCTAATCAAAAATAAGAGAATCACTGAAATTTCTAATTTCAAAGACAATTTGCTTAACTAGCTTGAAAAATGATTCTATAAAAACATTATAAAAGCTTTTGGTGTGTAGGAAAAAGTATCACTAGGTTGATGGGTACAGCCAGAGCACCTAACGCTGTCCATTCAGCTCCCAAATTGTCACTGTGGGCGGGCAGGTAATGCCACTTGAAACTACCTAAATGAAACCATTTTTATAGAAGCTTTTACAATCCGTACTTGGTTTTCAATGAAAAAGTTCTTCGCAATAAATCCAAATGGCATAACATCAAAAACACCTGACAGGATGGCCCCATTCCCAGCAAGCCTGCTTCTTCCCTAACATCTTGTAACTTACATGACACTGGGCTGGGGCACCACCAATGCACCGCCGTGATCTAAAAATTCTCTCAAAACTGCCTCCTCTCCTTAGGTCAGCAGCCCACCCATGCCCTATTTAGAACTTTGCTGAATAAAAGTTGAATTACATAAATGAAGGCCAAAATCCAGAAATTCAAATTCAAGCCATCAGGGGGAAAAAAAACTCCTTAAGTCACGGTAGAAGTAGGTGCCTCAGTTGCTTCATTGATAAAACTGAACAGGCCACTGAGATACTTACCGTTTATACCCTAAACTTGGATGCTATAATATTTGTCTTAGTCATCGTTTTATAGTTCAGAGTGTTTTGCTGGATCTTCATGAGTGCAGATATTAATCTGTGTCTTAAGTGCTTAGTAAAATTAATGGTGTTGTTCATTCTTTCATCCCACCGAATAGGCAGGAAGTTCATAGCTCTGGTACAAAGAAAGCTATGAGCCAGCAGGCAGAAGCGTTCATTCAGTGGGGGAGCGAAGAAAAAGAACGTGGTTTCATTGCTCAGAAAACTCTCGATTCTTCTCTTTCCTCTGTTGGGGCTGTAGGCAAAGCGAATGTTCTCCTGACAGTAGGGTTTCCTTGAAAACTTGGTTTCACAAAATGCACCACCTTCGTGGGCCGCGCCGCGGGAGCTGACTGCACTACCAGCCTGCGTCGGCGGCAGGTCACGAGGTCAAGGTCGGCTTCGCGTAGGCTGAGCCTCTGTCAGCAAGTTTCCTTGGCCCCGCGGTCTCCCTCCCTCCGGCAGGCGTCGCTGGCCATTGATGGGGCGAGAGGAAGGAAGCGGATCTTCGATCCCGCCCGGAGGCTCGGCACCCCTGGGCCGCCTTCCTCCCGTGCCCGCCTGCGCTCGCGCCTCCGCGGCTTCTGGAGGGTCTCGCGCCACCTGCCGGCGCCCAGGGATGAACCGGGCCCTCACTCTGGAAGGCAAGGATCTGGGCGGCCGCGATTGAGGGCTTGGGCGCAGCTGGGAGGGAATCCCCGGCGGGCGAGAGCGCCAGCGCCAGGCCAAGGCGTGGGGTGCACGGAGAGGTCCGGGATCACGGCGACGGCATCCGGAGTCGCGGGCGGGGCGCTGCCGGGGAGTCCGGGAACCCTGGAGGGCCCGGGGAGTGGGCGGAGGTGCCGCAGGAGGCGTCCGGTGCTTGGCTGGGCCGGTCTGGTCGGGCGCGCAGTTGAGGGGAGGGACAGGGCTGCGCCGGGCTGGGCCGCCGGGTACGCTTCCCTCGCCCTGCACCCTCGCCGGGCGGCGAGTGTTGGAAAAGAGAGGAAGACCTGCGGGCCTTTAGATCCTGGGACCGCCCTTTCCCGCTCCAGGTCGGGCGGCGAGCAGCAACGAAGGCTGGACCCTCAGTGGCAGCATGAGAGCGGGCGCCGCCGCTCCGGACTTGCGGCCGCGCGGCAGGCGGTGGCGGCTCTGCCGGCGCTCGCCATGGGCGCGCGGTGGGGCCGGCGGAGCACTCGGCGTGGCGGCCTGAGGCTGTCCGAGGCCCATTTGGCGCTGATGGCCGCCAGCCTGGTGTGCAGCGCCGTGGTCGTCTATGTTTGCTGGAAGCAGCTGCCGCCGCTGCCCTGGGCCTCCTCCGTCCCGCCGCGGCGGGTGAGCGTGCTGCTGTGGTGGGAGCCCTTCGGGGGCCGGCACAGAGCCAAAAGGCCGCCCCCCGATTGCCGGCTGCGCTTCAACATCAGCGGCTGCCGCCTGCTCACTGATCGCACGGCCTACGGGGAGGCCCAGGCGGTGCTTTTCCACCACCGAGACCTGGTGAAGGGACCCCTGGACTGGCCCCCGCCCTGGGGCGTCCTCGTGCGCCCGGTGGAGGAGCAGCAGGTGCTGATGGACGATGAGGAGGAAGCCGCGGAGGCCTTAGCCCTGGCTGCGTCGGGCCCCAGGCCCCCCGGCCAGCGCTGGGTGTGGATGAACTTCGAGTCGCCCACCCACTCCCCGGGGCTGCAGAGCCTGGCAGGTAACCTCTTCAACTGGACGCTTTCCTACCGGGCCGACTCGGACATCTTCGTGCCTTACGGCTACCTCTACCCCAGGACCCATCCCAACGAGCAGCCGCCGGGTCTGGTCCCGCCGCTGGCCCGGAAACAAGGGCTGGTGGCCTGGGTGGTGAGCAACTGGGACGAGCGCCAGGCGCGGGTCCGCTACTACCGCCAGCTGAGCCAGTACGTGACCGTGGACCTCTTCGGCAAGGGCGGGCCCGGGCAGCCGCTGCCTGACATCGGGCTCCTCCACACGGTGGCCCGCTACAAGTTCTACCTGGCCTTCGAGAACTCGCAGCATCTGGATTATATCACGGAGAAGCTGTGGCGCAACGCCTTCCTGGCTGGGGCGGTGCCGGTGGTGCTGGGCCCAGACCGTGCCAATTACGAGCGCTTCATGCCCCGCCGTGCCTTCATCCACGTGGACGACTTCCCTGATGCCTCCTCCCTGGCGGCCCACCTGCAATTCCTCGATCGAAACCCAGCTGCCTACTGCGGATACTTTAGCTGGCGTCGGAGCTATGCCGTGCACGTCACCTCCTTCTGGGACGAGCCTTGGTGCCGGGCCTGCCAGGCTGTGCAGATGGCTGGGGAACAGCCCAAGAGCATCCCTAACTTGGCTGGCTGGTTTCAGCGGTGAAGCCACCCTCCCCTGGCTGTAACCCAGGGAGGCCAAGTCGTCGGCTTTTGGATCCCCTGGATCCTCCGCTGTGCATCTCCTTAACTGCCGAATCGTGGGACTGTATTTTCCAAACACCCATTTTTAATCTATTCCCATAATTAAAGTTGATTTACCAAGTAATATTATTCAGCACAAAGACTGGGTGGGAAGGGTCCTGGGTGCTCATGGTTTTGGGACAACTAGCAGTTGGGCTTCCTCTGCTGTCCAAGGGCATCTGAGCTCTGGGGTGAAGATGGGGGCCCTTCCTTCCCTTGTAACCAGTGCAGAGGTGAAGAAACAGCTTACCTACAAGAAGCAATTGTCAGTGGCTCTGAATTTCCTCATCTGCCACAGGCCATATTTGTGGCCTGTGCTGAGTCCAAATCTCACACAGTGCCCCTCCACTCACGTGACTGAGCCAAAGGTAGCAAACCCCTGGTTTCAGAAAGAGCCTTGTTACAGGATTGTGAAAGGACTGTGGCCACAGGTGGGTCTTTCTCTTTGTGCCTGGATTTCTCAAAGTGTCATCTCCTAAGAAAGGTGAGGAGGGTGGTCCAAGAATCCACTGACTTCCTTAACAAGTGCTGTTGTTTGTTCCCTTGCTTTATGAATGGAAACAGGATGCTGGATTGTCCTTGGAGAAGAGTTAGGATGAATATTTGGTGTACCTCACTTTACACAAATGTATTCTTGAAAAGCCGCTTTTAAATCAAATTCAGTGTTTTAGGAGAGCGCAATATTTAATGGAACCCTATGGAGAATCCCTTTATAATGTGAATAATCATCTGCTAACTGATTTTTTCTGTGTCTATGTTTTTCTATAACCTGGATCTTTTACCAAGCGTATTAAAATTACAGATGTGAAAATAAAGCAGAAGCAACCTTCTTCCTTCCTCCCGTAAAGCCAGCCTGTATTTACAAACAGGAGAGAAGGAAGCCACAGCGTCACTTTCCACAAAATTATTTATTTTGTGTCTTTACTGGAGCTGAAATTTAAAACTGGAAAGTCAGTCCTCCATGGGGTCCTGGCATGACCTGTCTGCAGAACGATGAAAGGGATCGCACTGTATTATGGAATCATGCAAAAGGAAAAAAATTTCCTGGTGTCTGTTAATGGCAGTTTTTGATTCAGTCAGTTTTAAGTTAAATGTTTAGTTGCTAGGGAATAGAACTTAATCAGTGCCTGCAGTAAAAACTTTATCTTTTGTTACAGAAATCTGTAATTCTCCCTGGGGCCACCAGCTTCCCCTCCTGGTCTGCCCAGTAGTACAGTGGGTACATCCTCACATTTCTAGTGCCCTTGAGACTGTGCTGTGGGACCAACTTTGAAAATATATGCATTGACTTTAAAAGTTGTTGAATGAACAGCATATTAGGTGTCACCGTGTACCTGCACCACGTGAAACACTGAGCTTGGGGAAAACAAAAATGTGTAAGGCTAGGTTCCTCTCTTTAAGGCTCTTACAATCTACCACTGTCAAAAAGTAAATAGTGGACTTTGATAAATCAGTTGGCAGAACTTATTTGTTTAAAGTAACATTCTTTTTTTAAAAAATTTATTTTTGGCTGTGTTGGGTCTTTGTTGCTGTGCGCAGTCTTTCTCTAGTTGTGGCAAGCAGGGGCTACTCTTTGTTTTTTTGTTTGTTTGTTTTAATTTATTTATTTTTTTTTATTTTTGGCTGTGTTGGGTCTTCGTTGCAGTGCGCGGGCTTCTCATTGCGGTGGCTTCTCATTGCGGAGCACGGGCTTTAGGCGCCCAGGCTTCAGTAGTGGCAGCACACGGGCTCAGTAGTTGTGGCACGTGGGCTCTAGAGCACAGGCTCAGTAGCTGTGGTGCACGGGCTTAGTTGTGCCGCGGCATGTGGGATCTTCCCGGACCAGGGCTCGAACCCGTGTCCCCTGCATTGGCAGGCGGATTCTCAACCACTGCGTCACCAGGGAAGCCCCAGGCTACTCTTTGTTGAGGTGCGTGGGCTTCTCAATGTGGTGGCTTCTCTTGTTGCGGAGCACGGGCTCTAGGCGCGTGGGCTTCAGTAGTTGTGGCACGTGGGTTCAGTAGTTGTGGCTCGTGGGCTCTAGAGTGCAGGCTCAGTAGTTATGGTACACGGGCTTAGTTACTCCGCCCGGGCCTGTCACTGTTGTGGCCTCTCCCGTTGCGGAGTACAGGCTCCGGACGCGCAGGCTCAGCGGCCATGGCTCACGGGCCTAGCCGCTCCGCGGCATGTGGGATCTTCCCGGACCGGGGCACGAACCCGTGTCCCCTGCATCGACAGGCGGACTCTCAACCACTGCGCCACCAGGGAAGCCCAAATATGTTGACTGGGCATTAATCCAGTGGGTTTTTTTGGTGTTTTTCTTTTTTTGATTGACATATAGTTGACTTACAGTGTTGTGTTAGTTTCAGGTGTACAGCAAAGTGATTCAGTTAATATATATATTATATATGTAGTATATATATAATATATATTCTATATAGCATATATATTATAGATGATATATATTCTTTTTCGGATTCTTTTCCGCTATAGGTTATTACAAGATATTGAATATAGTTCCCTGTGCTATACAGTGGGTCCTTGTTGTTTATCTGTTTTATATATAGTATTGTGTATCTGTTAATCCCAAACTCCTAATTTGGGGGTAGAGATAAATTAGGAGTGAAGTGACATTCTTAATAATGCCATAAATCAATTATTAGAAAGCCAGTTGATTTAAAGCCTGAAATGATGGGGTTTTTTTCTCCTTGACTTATTATAATAAGCACCCTCAGTGACTGTTGTGGGTAAGGTCCAAGATTAATTAGGTTTATACAGAATTCTGCTGTAAACAGTAATTTTGCATTTGATTAGTACAATTAGCTGAATCATAAAGTAACTTTTATCTCTATGCATTTGTTCGAAAAGCTCACTAACGTCTAGGTGCTTCAATTCTCCCTTAAAAGGAGAAATTGAAATCCCTGGATAAAATGTCCTCATTAAAATATTATAGTATGGGCAGAATTACAATATCAAAATAGAACCCCCAATAAAGAAGGAAAGATTCTATTCTTAAAATAAGTATTTATGAATTATTGGTCAGTGGTCTTGGTGTTATTGGGAATCTACATGGGACAGTGGGGGATAGTTTGAAGGTAATCTGGCTTAACTCTGAATTCCAGCCATGTGACGATTTGCCTTGGGCAAATTAGTCATAACCCTGAGCCTCAGCTTTCTTAACTGTAAAATGGGGCAAGAAATGACTTCCCAGCTCCTTATGAGCTGTTCAGGAAATAAAGTAATAAGGTGCCTAACACATAGTGGTGACTCAATTGGTGACAGAGAGATAGGTTTATTTCCCTTCTTGCAGTGATTTCAGGGTGCCTCCATATCCATTTATATGGATTGTAGAATGAAATCTCAAGGTATGTTACAGAATATATCTGAAATAAAAAGGAAGTGGCCTCATATCATGTATTTCAAATGAATCCCTAAAGCTCAGCCATACTATTTCAAGAGTCATTACTGCCATTTAGACTGAGCTTGAATTTGCAGACTAGGAAGAAGCACTATGCTTTCTGTGAAATTTGTTTTAAAAAATTGTTTTTGTTTTGGTTAATTTGTATTGTTAAGTAAGTATTATTTTACTAATGATCTCCTTGGTATTAACTCTATTTAAAACTAACCATGTTATTTATTGAATACTTAGCATGAGGAAGGTATAATTGCAGTTTTATGTGCAAATTTGGGGTAAGGAACAAACAGTATATTTTTAGGCTAATTTCAAACAGCCAGAGAAATGCGGCAATTGCTCATTTTATGTGATTTCATTTTTCAAGTCATTCTAAATTGAGCAGGTTAAAATTTCACATACGCTAATATAAAAATACATAGAGATGCATCACATGTATTTCAAAATGGCTTTCATAAACTTTTCTTTCAAATGTATTGCAAATTTAATTTAATATTTTTAGTGCTTGATGACTTTAGTTACACGAGTACGCCTGAAATATTTGCCTCAAGAAGACAGTCTGACTTGCTTTCAGTATTCACAGGTCCTTTCCAGTTTCCAAATCCTTCCTCAGCAGTAATTTAGAGGAGACAGGTAGCTTCATGGAAAGAGCTCTCAATTTGGAGTCAAAACCTGGGTGTGTGGTTTTGCCACTTTCTGCCGCTGTGGCCCTGATGAGGCGAGTTACTTAAATTAGCGTCCTCCTTTATGATGTGACGAGAAAGAAACGGAAGAACAGCTTCAGGGCTAACAGCACATTTTGGCTTCTGTAAGAAACTTGCTTGCTTGCTTGCTTGGGGCGGGAAGAACCGGGTTCCTGATTGGCTGATTCAAAATTAAAAAGCTCCCTCCGGCCCTGGGGACTTCCCGCCCTGTGAAGGGGATAAAAGCCTCGCCCGACTGTTAGTCGGGGTCTCACTCACTTCTCTCCGAGTGGGACCCTGTCCAGACAGTTTGTGTAAGCTTCTATACTTGTACTTGTATAAATCCTTTGCTAATCTTTCTACTTGGTGTTGGTGATTCTTGGGTGTCCTTGGTTGGGACACGGGTCTCATTTACCGGGGAACTTGACTCCAGGCGTGTGGCTCCTGGACTGCAACAATAATGCATGAATGCCCCTGCAAAACAAGGATTAAATGTGTTTGCCAGGGTGCTTTGTACATTGTAAAGTGCTATACAGTTACAGGATGCTCCAAATTTTCAAAGCTCTAGAGCAGGGATCAGCACACTTTTTCTGTAAAGGGCCAGAGAGTAGATATTTCAGGCTTTGCCGGACATACAGTCTCCGCTGCCACTACTCACCTCTGCTGTTGGTAGTACAAAAGCAGCCACTGACAATCTGTAAACAAAGGCGGTGCCTGGATTTGGCCTGTGGGCTATAGTTTGTTAACTCTGCTCTAGACTTTTAGAGATAGGAATTTGAGAACCTACCTGCTGGGGTTTTCTTAGAAGGGATTTACGAATTGGAATTAGAGAATTTTGGAGGCAGTTATTTCTGGGTTACTAGACCAGCTTTGCAACGTTTCCTAATTGTCTCATCTCGGGTAAATTATTTAAGCTTTCTGTGTATTGATATTCTCATCTCTAATTGAAGGTAATCATATATAATTATGGAGGTGTTGGGAGAATTAGAAAAGACACAAAGTACTCAGGACAATGTCGGGCACACAGGAAGCACCTGGAAGA